TTTTAGGATGTAATATACAACTATACGAGTATATGTAATCTGATATCAGCGGTGTACCCCAATGTCATCATCACAAGCACCCATCTCCATAAAGACTACTTTCTACACCCCTGAAGTGTGCTCTCCTGCACTATGATTCAAGCCACGGTTATCATCAAAGATAGGTGAAGTAGTAGAATTGAAGGACGCCATTAAACCAGCCCTCGAATATATTAATGTCGATTCCACCGTGACCAAGTGTAGAAGAGGAAGGTAGCAACAAGAAAAAGTTCGTAGCTGAGCTGAGCCCAGAATCACCTACCGACGTCAACAGAACTGATGCCTGTGTCGGCTTACCATACTCGACTCTCTATCTAGGAGCCTGTTTAAACAGGCTTGCGATCAACTGGTCAACCACAAGCCTGTTTTAACCCACTGGCTGCGATCATACTACTATTCATATTCATGTATACGATCATACTACTGTTCATGTTAATAATTCGTCCTTCACAAGTTGTCATGCAAATAGATGCAATAGCATATCCAAGTACTCATGATACTTGGATTATTATATTTCTCTTTTTTCTGGTAATAAGTTTTATTTATATTTATAATGATGTTACACTGTTACAGTTACCTTTATGGAATATGTTTGAATCTTAGGTTGGTAGATCGCATCAGGGTAGAAAAAGTAGATCGTATCTCACAAAAGGTTGGCTACCACTGGTTTAAAAGGATCTCGGGATTTTACAGTTGAGATCTTTGGCCAGTGCAAACATCATACTTGTACGGACTACAACTGAGTTACCTCTATGTCATGTTTATGAAGCTGGAAGATAAGGTAATCATCTATGACCATTTATGGGTACTAGGATAATAATATATGCCAAAATCTTTCATTAATATTTGATGTATGGACACATCCGGTTACACAAACAAACGTACAATGACAAGATAATTTCCAACTTTCGTAACTGGCGCCTACGTAGTATTACACAACATTTTATTAATCCTGTAATTTTAACGCCATTTTGTATTTGGCATATATATATATATATATATATATATATATATATATATATATATATATATATACACACACACAACACACAACACACACACACACACACACACACACACACACACACACATATAATATATATATATATATATATATATATATATATATATATATATCTGTGTGTGTGTGTGTGTGTGTGTGTGTGTGTGTGTGTGTGTGTGTGTGTGTGTGTGTGTGTGTGTGTGTGTGTGTGTGTGTGTGTGTGTGTGTGTGTGTAGTGTCTCTCATCTTTCTGGAAAATATATAGTCCTTATAAAATAATCGTAATAGAATAATTCGATATCGCCAATATGTAGTTTGCATCAGGATTACTATTCACTTATGTTATAGAAAGGTGGAAGCCATACAGTGCGATTTTTAGGGCAATTAAGTAAATATGTTTCCTGTCTGGAAGTCTCTTGCAGTTTTTATTCATATATTGCTTTTCTCTGCTTACACCAATTTCCTCATTTCCATTGTGTCCAACACTGGTTATACACTGCAAGACACTATTGATCATATTAGTGTGCACTGTGAAAGTGTATGCTAAATCAGCTTATTAAAACATATGCCAATCTAGAATTAAATATTTGAACAACTAATTACACTTGTTCAGAACGTTTTCCATTTTCTCTTATGGTGTTTATTTCCTCCTATGCTAGGTTTAATTTGGGTATTCTTCGTTTACAGTATTATTTCTATACTGCTGAATAGTAGTTCTTAGCAAGGGTATTGGTGTGTTTCATTTATAGGGGTACTGGAAATGATTAAGGGCGTGTGAGAGGGGTACTGTGGACATTCCATAAATAACTATGATTCTAATTGATAAACGGTTGTCTCAAAGGAATTGGTAAATGCTTGCTTTGCAACCATTTCTCCTATACAGGTAATTGACAAGGAGTGAACTACAGTATTGTGATTTACACTTTTTACACTATTAGCTTTACTCAAACGGGGTCCCTTCCCCCTTTCTCTCTCTCCTTATATACATGTGTATTGTATTATAATATGTACTATAGTGTTAAAATTTGCAGATATGGATAAGCACTTGATAAACCTGATTGCAGCCTCAACTTGGCTTCTGGGATAAAAGAAAGAAAGATAAAGTCTAAGAATATAATGCTGACTTCTTGCAGTTCACTTTCATTCCTCCGAGTGAATACTGGTACTTCTTTATAATGTCGCTGGAAATAAATGAGTACTCCACTTTAAACTATACAGAAGTATTGACATTCAGGTTCTCAGGGAGCTGAAAAACATTGAGAAAGATACTGTACAATTCTTTTGTGTTATTGCCAGAAGCATAAATTTTATGTACTAACCAGCTGAAAATGCCCTGGTAGAAATTTCCTTTCTTGAACTTGACAAATTGTACAAAGAATAAACAGAAACTACAAACAGTAAATATATTTTTATCAAGAAGTATATTTCTAGAACTATATCCTTATATACGTGCTATAT